GCCGAGGTCGGGAGACGGGGAGTTGCAGCGGAGGAAACAGTCTCCGTCCAGGAGGGCCGGCAAGAGGCCCGACATCTGGAGCAGAAACAGAGTCAGAGCATTACGTTTAGTTTCTTCTTCTTCTATTCGTGATCGTGCTGTAAGCGTACTCGTGGAGAGAAGCTCCAGGTCTTGGGGTTCTTGGGGTTGTAGGTCGCCCTCACTGTGTGGATGTTACTCAACACCTGAAAGAAAGAAAGAGCATCAGTTGGGATTTTCAAGATGTACCCATGAATGAATAATATCTGATACAAGACGTCTGTGAGTCTAGGAGAAGAATCATCCAGTGAAACACATCTGCAGCATTTATTACATTACAGGTCATTTAGCTGACGCTGACTTACATTGCATTTATAACCCGTAGCTTTTTAAAACATTTTCAAAAAATTCCATTACATGAAAAAGTCAGAAAATATTTGGTTGAAGAAAATTGAATTGAATTGAAGAAAAGGTAAAAGATTTGATCAAAAGCATACAAAAATGTTTTTTTCAAAAATGGCATGGAAATAAAAGAAAAAAATGATTTAAAAAATGTATTTAGTAAAAAAAAAAGTTAAAAATTAAAACAAAATTGGTTCAAAAAAGTTTTAAAAGATTTGTTAAAAAATGTCAGGGAGAAAAAAAAGAGAGGAGAGGAAAGATGACAGAGAAGGAAACAGGAGATGAGAGGAAATGATGATAATAGCTTAACCAATATCATATATCCACACTTTAGATTCTTTATAAGTGGACACAGGAAGTGACGTCAACACTAAGACTCCACCTGAGACCCGTCGAAGGCGCAGAGGCGGACGTGTCTGCTGAGGACGTGAACTCCGACCCCGGGAGAAGGAATCCTCGTGCAGCCCTCCAGACTGAAGCAGACACACGTCCTCACCTGCCGAGCTCGAACCTACGGAACACAGAGAGGGGATGACAAGAGACACACACACACACACACGCACACACACACACACTCAGGCCCCGTTCACACCTGGACACAGCATGTCTCATTGACATGTTGATGGGTGACCACGTCTGTCTTTAAAGTGAAGTCAAAGCTCCATGTGATGAAGTTGAAATTCTGTGTAGTGACCAGCAGGGGGCGACTCCTCTGCTCCCATAGACGTCTATGAGGAAATGACTCCACTTCTCTCTTGATTTACTCCATCAGTAAACATTGTAAACTTGAGTTTAAGTCTCAGTCTCTAGTTTCAAGTCTTCTTCAATACAGCATGATGTTCATTTAGTGAATGATGGTCCATTTAGAGTCAAACAGACCATAAAGCAGGGGATGCTTTAGGGCGGGGCTAGAACAGTGACAGGTCTCTGCCCGATGAGGTCATTTCCTGTTTACGGGCTGCAAACATCAGTTCGCAAACTAACGAGTGACGTCGCCATGGCTACGTCCTCCTCTGACAAACATTCTGTGCTCCAAACCGACCTCCGCTGTGAGCGTAATTATCTGTGAACTCATGGTCGTCATGGCAACGTAGGACCGGAGATGCCGTCTCACCCTGCCGGTGTCCGGATCCAAGAAGAGGTCGCTAAAGGAGAGCTGTGATTGGCTGAGCTCGGGCTGGACGTAGTGACTCCCTCTGTGTGTTACACCTTGAGAGGAAGACACAGAGGCTTTTAATGACACAGTATTGATTAGTTACTGATACTGATAGTGTGTGTGTGTGTGTGTGTAATGACCTTCCTCCACCAGCAGCTTGGTGAGCGACGACGGTCTGAATCCGGAGGGTATGGCCCCCATGGCAGAGAGCACGTCTGTTGCATCAATCTGTCCCCGCACGCACACACACACACACACACACACACACACACACACACCAAAACATTGTGGATTCCACCTTCGCTGATGATAAATCCAGCAGAAGAAGGAGGAGATATTTACCTCCGTCAGCGCTCTTCTCACGCTGCTCCAGTTGGAATGTGGAGAACTTTTAAACAACAGAAGAATTCAGATCAAACTGATTGATTGTGTCCTGGAGGGCTTAATTATCACCTGACACCTGATGTCCTTCAACCGCTGAGCAGACCTAATACTGTTTTACTTTAAACCGACCTTTGTTTCTCCCCGTCAGCGCTCAGTTCTTCTTCGTCCTCCTCCTCTTCCTCCTCCTCCTCCTCTTCCTCCTCTTCCTCCTCATCATCATCATCATTCACCCCGGAGCCGATCTGAACAGCAAAGGAGGCTCAGGTCAAACTTTTTCCTTTTGCTTTCCTCTGTGAACTAACCGACACAACGAGATGAAGGCGTGATTGTTCTTCATCTCACCTTCAGGTACGTTTTGGGGACGACTCCTTGGTTGCCGTTAGCATCCTGAGCTAGCCACCACCCGTCTGCCGTCTTTCTGATGATCCTCAGCACCCCCCCTCTCTGAGGACAGCAGGGAGACACATCACGTGTCACGTCGTGGGACATGTTTGTTACCCACACACACGCCTGATGATGAAACAGGAAGTGCTTCACCTGAACCGACAGGTCTCCTTCCTGTTCTCCCGTGAAGTCGCTGAGGGCGGAGTAGATGAGAGGCTCTGACGGAGAGGGAGGCTTTGCAGCCCGCTTCTCATCCTCATCATCGTCATCGTCGCTACTGTCTTTGTCCTCGTCCTCGTCCTCGTCTTCGTCCTCGTCTTCTTCATCTTCCTGTGATTCATCGCTGTGAATCACAACGTCTTCTTAAACCTCAGAAACACAGAGCTTCAAAGCTCAAATGAACTGGATGTGACTTTGGGACTTTGGGAGATCGTTTAGAGCAGCAGTTCAATCCGGTGTAATATTTGTACATTCTTCCTGAGGTCACAGGGGTCACTGACTCTGCAGCAGAGCTGGCTCCCGGTGGTGAGAGCTACAGAGAGAGGCCGTCCACGCGCTTCAGGATGCTCTGCAGCCGGGTCTCCTCCTCCTGCTTCCTCCGCTCGTAGTTCCCCACGGAGCCGGCTCGTCCGCCTAGAGCAGCGAACTGCTAGGCCACGCGCCCCTTCTACATCCCAACGGGGTTCGGGTTTGCTCACGCGTGACATTTGTTTATAACATTTAGTTCCTGTTAAATGTTGCAGTGTGAACACAGAAATTGTATCATATTCATTCTGAATCAGGATAAAGCAAAAAACACTGCAACAAAGTTTCAATAAACTCCAGTTACGTCACTTTAAAGGAGCAATAAGAAGGACGAGGACACGCGCACAGTCTCAGAGGCAGATATGAATGAAAAGCGAGGATTCCATCTGAGGGTTTCACAGCAGCGCAGAGAGAGAGAGGGGGAGAGAGAGGGAGGCAGGCGACGTTGGCGAGTGAGGGACGAGTATCGCCTCGGATTCCTCCGTCTCTCTCTGTCTCTCTCCTCTCTCGCGACTGGTAGCTTCATCCGTCCACCTGACCTGTTAGCTGCACAAACTAGGCTCACATTAGCTAGTGTGTACGTAAAAGGAGGAACTGAAGTGTATTTATATGTTTATATTTAAATATTTCATTTCATTAATAACGTGCAAAACTGTCTTCATTTAGTCCCTAAATAGATTCCCTAACAATAGCTAATAATATATCAGATTGATCCACATGCTGCCTCAGAAACGTGATCAGCTATAATTGAAGTTGGTATTAGTCAATCAACAGTATGAATAAATATTACACCAAACATATTTAAGAATAACATTTGAATTACCATGTTTATAGACAGTTAAGCACTAACCTTAGTCAGCTTCATCAGGGTCCTTTGTGTCTTCTCTGCCAACATCTGCATTTCTTGACATCTTGTTGTATTCGGCCAGTTAGGATGAAAAACAGACCTCAAAGCTTCAGTGAAGACAATTTAAATACGATAGTAAAAGTTCCTGCAATAGTTTCATTGTTGGCTGTTTACCTCCGAAACGCTTCGTCGGTGGTTCCCGCCCGGCTCTGCACGTCCTGCAGCAGCCTGTCGACCTGCACGGGACACCAGCCGTGAACCGCCACGTCATCCCGATTCAACGTTAATTCACCAACACGATATATTACTGCGTTATTCTTACTTTATTAATTATTTGTTAATGCATTACTGTCTAGTCTTTAAACTCTGAACAATGTGTCTTCAGGAGTGTCTCCAGTCTCCATTCACAAATCTTCTCTTTTAATGTCCCCTCTTCATCTTAAGGAGCCCCTCACTAAACAAACCCATGAGGTCTTTCTCCCAGGGTGTTCTGGATGATTCGGCATTCACCTCATGCACCGCGAACATCTGTCTTTCGCGTGGTGCTGTGTTTACGTGTCTCATCTTCAGCCGTTTGTGGACATTTAAGCTAGCACAAGGCGTCCTGTAGCGGGGCTTTAGCGTTAAACACAAAGGGAAAGCGCGCTTACAAACCTGCTTCTCGAGTTCGTCCACTTCTCTCTGGACGAGCTGCAACGGCCCTCGTCTTTTTAGCGGCATTTAAACGCTGTTTTACGAGTCATATGAAATATGTTTTAGCGGACAGCCTAGCCAGCTGCTAGCCGCTAGCCGACAACACACTTCCACCGGTCGCTAGGCAACCGGTTCCACCGTAGATTTAATACATCTGAAATATGTTTATACACTCGCTATGTAATTAATGATTGTAGATTAATGCCACAAAACCTTTGCTGAAAATGTGTGTTATTATAATTGATATATATATATATATATAACTTAAATTTATAATTTAACTTTAGTCCATTTTACGACACCCGGATGTGTGGGTTGCTAATGCGTCACCGCCACCTGCTGGACCAGAAGATGAAACGACATGTTAGAAAGTCTCCGGGATGGAGAAATCATCCTTGCTTAAATTGCTGAATAACATCATAATAATAATAATAATAATAACAATAATAATAATAATAACTATCTTCTCTCCGCTGCTGCTGCACAATTTCTTCAGAGACACCCACAACACATACAACCTCCTCGTTGTAAAATTAAGTAGATTTTTACTGAATTAAGGGTAACATATGAGATCGTACAGAGAATAAAAACATAGGGCTAATTACTTAATACAATATAAATACTATCTTAGCAAATGAAAAAATCATTCCAAACCTAAGCCTAACCCTCTATTGTCGCTTTGGATAAAAGCATCAGCTAAATGACATGTAATGTAATGTAAATTCTGAAATAGTACATAGAAATCTATAAATATATGTTAATCTCACTCATGGCTAAAAACAGCAAAGAACAACAAAGAACATATATCACAACAATAAGGCATTGGTTTTTGGCTATTTTACAGTACTCACACTTAATATATGATACAAATAATATTACATAAGATAATACATAAGAGGTTGTGTGGTTTGACACAGAACACAAACATAACACGATGGTGCAACTGAGTGAACCTTTTAAATAATATAGAAATGAGTCAATAATAACTTCAGGGTTTACACAGCTCCACATCTGGCCAGTGCACAGCACTTTGCAATGTCACGCACGCGCGATGAAGACTTGTGTAAGCGCTCTCGGTAACGACCTGCAGAGGGCGTGTTGTGCATGTTGTGAAACGTGCTGCCTTAACTTCCCCTCGTTAAATGCCAGCTCTGCATTTGAAGTAGTCCAACTTAAAATTAAGAAGCACATTCTGCACGTGACATACATACAAGTACAATTACAGTACAATAATTGACTTCCTTCATTTCTAAAAATAATGTATCGGTGATGTTCCTTGCTACATCTTCCTGAGATTATGACATTTACGACGTTATATGTGACCATGAAGGCCGCACACGCTCCTCGCGTTCAGCCTCCAGTCGGTGTGACGTCACTACCTGTCATGGCGGCCCCCGTAGCGCTCGTCCAAGGGGCCAGCAGGGGACTCGGGCTGCAGTTCTGCAAGCACATCTTAACAAACAGAACCGCCGCCGCCGTCATCGCGACGTGCCGGAACCCGGGCGACGCGACCGAGCTGCGGGGCCTGGCCGAGCGACACCCGGGCAGACTCACGGTCCTGCGGCTGGACGTGAACCGGGAGGAGGAGGTGCGCGGAGCCGCGGAGCGGGTCAGAGAGAGCTTCGGTCGGCTGGATCTGGTCGTCAACTCGTCGGCCATGCTGCACCCCTCCGGGAAGGGAGAGACCAGCCTGAGGGACGTGTCTGCTCAGGTGAGCCGTGACGTCATGACGATGAGTCCTGAATATGCTTTCATAATAGTTTGGATCTGACTTTAAATCCGGCATCAATGACGGTCTGTTTGGTCTGTTTTGCTTAATCAATTAATCCATCCATTTCACTCCTTCCCTCTCCCCCATTTTCAGGGTGTCATTTCCACCTTGACAACCAACACGGTGGGCCCCCTGATTGTGGCCAAGTATTTTGCCCCCCTCCTCCAGAAGGGTGGTGGCGGTTTCGGTCAGCAGCCCCCGGAGAAAGCACAGCAGCACAGCGGCATCCTCGTCAACATCACCGCCAAAGTGGGGTCCATCGGAGACAACGGTAGCTGCTACGTCCGCCCCGCGCTCCCCCTCTGCGGTGACCTATGAAGCACGCGGTCCTTCATTGGTGCTCCTCTGGTGTGTCCCCCTTCTCAGGTCTGGGCGGGTGGTACAGCTACAGGATGTCTAAAGCAGCGCTCAACATGGCGACCAGGAACCTGTCCATCGAGCTGGGCCGCGGTCGACCCAAGGTGGGTTTGTCCCCACAGGTTCTACATCAGAAGTACACGAGACGCCAGCGGAGGCCTTTAGTGTCTTCTAAGTCGCCTTCTGAGACCAGCAGAGGAGACGTGTTCACACACACACACATGAACACTGATTTATCTCCATGGAAACCACTATCACTTCAGCCATTTATTTCCTCCATCAACCATGGAAGAAGTAACCTGCACATCATTGTGAGGTGTTGTCTCTGTTGTTACAGCTGTTAGAACACAAAATAAATACATGAATCACAATAAACAGATACACATGATGCAGAAGTAATGAGGTAAGTATATTGATTTGTAAAAAGTCTGAATTCATGTTTTGTTCACAAATAACTTTTAAATCACTTGTTTTCTGAATGGAGTCTGGATCTATCCGTGCAGAGGGGTACGTCTCATCTCTGATTGGCTCTGATAAAGCACCAAAGGTTGTGACCACTTGTGCCCCCCCCAGGTGGTGTGCGTGTCCTTGCACCCAGGAACAGTCGACACCGCCCTCTCGCGGCCGTACCACAGGAACGTGCCGAAGGACAAGCTGTTTGGCGCCGAGCTCTCCGTGAGCCACCTGATGGGCCTGGTGGACTCTCTGAGCATGGAGCGCACCGGCAAGGCCTACAACTGGGACGGGACCGAGCTCCCCTGGTAGAGCCGGGGGGCTAAAGACCAGGACGTGGATCCGAGAAGAGCTGGACGCTGCAAAGAGGAGGAGTAGACCACCGACTACCTCACAGCCAATCAAAGGGCTTCAATGGCAGTGGGATGCTGATACGGATTAGCTGCCTTTGTGCTAAGCTAAGCTAACCAGATATGAGACAGATCTCCTTCACATGTTCCTTGTGTGTTTGATTATTGAATAAAATCGGTTTTATTATCATGACATTCATTTCTGTTAATATGCATTAGAAATGTATACAGATGACATTTGAGCCTATGAATGAAGGATTTCGGCACCTCAGGGTTTAGTTTGTTGCTCGAGGACTCCGCCAGAGCCGGGGATTGAACCAGCAAGCTACCGTCTCCTCATCAACAGCAACCACGTGATCATCAACGGGTCGTACGTGTGTTCAACATCTTCACTGTGGGTTCGTTTTTATAATTAGATCACATATAAACTTCACAGAGATGAATAACAGCAGCGTGTAGTTATTGAAATCCCCCAATTGTATGACATTAATATTACACAATATAATAGAGAGCTAAAGATTACATATAACTATATATGATGTATAATAACATTAAATTATCAAAATATAAAGGAGTTATTAGAGAAAGATGATTTGAACATTTAAAAGCCTAAAAGCTTTGAATGGTAAAATAACAGTAAAAAAATAATAAAATGTACATTTTAATGGAATAATAATAGCAGTGATTGGAGATTATTTTATCTAAAACTGCACGTGTTATGAATGGGAAGTAAAAATAAGCATTTATAATATAGAGTGTTTTATATATATTATATATACACATATGTTACATATATGTAACAACCTTGTTCTTTTAAATAACTCATCAGGTTTGCATATTTAATCAGACGTATTTGACTATATTATTTTAGCGATTATTCTGGCATTTGAACCATTTTATATCCCTGACTTATTGTTTGATTTCTCTTGAATGTCACGTGCCTCTTTTCATTCGCATCGACGTGTGACTGTTTGAATCTCCGGTTATGCAACGATCACACACAGCGGATGCAAAGGCATCGTTATATTTCATTATTCTCTCTTGAGAGGTTACAACGTTTCATTTTTCAGCACAACACTTTGACATTCCTTCCACCGTCATTATTATCGTTTATAAGCACCGCAGCAAAACCGGTCGGACGAGGTAAACGGGTTCGGGCGGCTGGCGTGACGTCGCCGTCCACACACACAAGCACAAGCACGCGCACTCGTGCCCGCTCCTAAGACGCACGGGCCGTCGCCGCTCCGCCCGCTGATCTCAATGTGGGGAAATGACCGCGAGTGACCTCGAAGCGAACGCAGAGTTGTAGCGGCCGCTCGTCCCCCGCCGGAGCCCCAGGGTGCGTTCGTCTTTACCGGGGGATAGTCTACCGGGGGCGGCACCACCGGCCGGCTCCGTGTAACGTTGAGCGGGGTCGCCGCTCGGAAGCGGCGGAGCTAACGTTAGCTTAGCCTAGCGGCCGGCGGTCTGTCATCCACCTACTGTCGATGCTAAGCTAAGCTAGGCTAGCCGCTGCCATGGATACAGCCGAGTCAGTGGTGGATAAGAAAGGAGCGTCGGGACCCTTTCACGTCAACAACGGGCCGAGCCCGAGGGGGTTTCACGGTAACGGCAGCTGCTGCGGCGGCGGATCGGGCCCCGCGGCACCGGAGGAAGCGCATCACCTGCACCGCGGCGGGGAGGACGCGGAGTGCAACGGCTCCCCGGCCAAGAGGAGCCGGCTGCGGAGGAGGACGGAGTCTGTGAAGCGGAACAGACCCCGTGAGTGATCAAACCCGTGTTCACTGGTTCACAAGGCTTTTAATGACACAGTATTGATTAGTTACTGATAGTGGTGTGTGTGTGTGTGCGTGTATAATTATTACAGGTTAACACCCAGCGCCGCTTTATTAAAGCCCGCTGTTATCGCGTCGTGATTCGCCCCTCAGACAATGTAGTCCCTTCAGTGATGAGATCAAGCCGCGGTGTCTCCGGCTGATCCGCTGTCGTCAGGGAGACCCCCTTTTTGTTGTCATGGACCCTCAGGCTGCTTTCGGCGCGCTGCGATTGGTCGGTTCCCCCGGTGGGGAGAAAGCTCCTGATAAGTGGGCCTGGCTTGCCTCGGCCAATCAGCGGCCGACTCCTGTCTTCAGGGCACTGGGCCCGCCCCCTTTTTATTTACCGAGTGTTTCGATGATGGTGAGAGGAGATAATCCGGGGAAACTGGAAAAGAGTCGGTTTCTTCAGGGTGTGAGTCTGCTTACGTAACCCGGACTGACCGGGACCACCGAACCTTCCAACCAGCTTACCTGTGATTAGTTTATATTTCTGCGCACCTGCAAGCTGACATTGTGCCTCACTATGAAGCTTGTAAGTGAAAAGAAACCTGGTAAGTGTGTGTTGGTTTTGCTTCATTCCATTGAGACAGAGAAATTAGTTTGTCTGTACTTTTCATTTCTAATTGTCCTTTTAATTAAAGTCCTTATCTTCACACGTTAAAGTTTCGGTCCGGCTGCTTAACGCCGAAGGGCCGGGAGCCGACTCCTACACGCGTCCCCACACGGGTTGTTGGGTTGTGCAGGGCCTCTCGGGGTAACTGCAGGTCACAGCCGCAGGGTTTGTGGTGTCTGTCGTGGGCGGTGAAAGTTGTTCTAAATGTTTGTATGTCATCTCGTCAGCATTCCTTACTCTAAACCTAATTCAATTAGATTCTGCATATCAGCGTTAGTCACAATCTGAGCTGGCCTCTCTTTTATTGTGTTGCCACGTGATCTAGTAATGGCCGTGGTGTCAATCATTGTGCTGCAAGACAATAAAGCCGCCGCATATTTTCCTAAGTAAATATTATTGTACTTATTGTTGTGTTTCTAAGGCCACATCCTTGTTAAACTTGGCTCCTAGTGAGTTTTAAACCAGCACTACTTTGTGGGTCTGACAGGTTGTACCTGTGTAAGAAAGGTGAGCGCTGTGGTTTGAAACCCCAAACCGAACCCTTAATGTTCTTGTTTCCTTCATTGAGGAGTTTGAATATTTCCTTTATGCAGTTTTCCATTCAGGCGTGTCGGGTTCTTTTGTCAGTGTAAATAAATGTTCACACTCGTTTAGTCGCACAATCAAACATTGTTCTAAAAGGAGGTCCACTTACCAACGCATGCAGCAATGTCTCATTCATTTCAGCGAATATTGAAATATTTGATGCGCCAAATTAGTTTTTATATTAAAGAGGCCAAGAATCTGTTGCCATGGCAACCTGTCAAACCTTTAGCGCAGTCCCTTAGCTATCAGAGGTTTATTGTTTAAAAGTCCACTACGAGATAAAAGCGTATCGCAGCGTGTCAGAGCGAACAAGAACTTCTTTCACGGTGTTGTTAGTTTGTGTGTCAGATGAGATATTTCATCTGCACGCTCAGTGGAATCGCAGATGTTCTCTTCATCCAGGCCGACTAGTTCTCATGAAGGGTGTTGGGACGCGTCCCGGACAGCCAGCTGGTTTGACATGTCCTGTGCTTTATGGCTGACTGCCGTCCTGCCGTCCTGTCAAGGCCGCTTGAACGCATCACAACACATCTCACGCGACCTCCGCTAACGCTAGCCGTTAGCTCCTCCTTCGAGCCCACCTGCACTGTGCTGCCCAGCTAACGGCTAACGTTAACTAGCTCCTCTCCTGCAGATTGTGTGACAGATGTGTTGACAGAGTGATATCATCAGCCAGGGTGTGTAGCGCTGTTTGCACATGCTCAGTAGCGCCCTGCTAGCTGCTGTGCCTGTGTTGCAGATGTGAGCTGATCAATTATACAATAATGTGATTTCATATCGTTCGCACATCAGCTCTCCTAATGCACAGTAATAATTGACTAATTGTGTTTGTGCATTTCTATAATCCTTCCCTGGTTTGACCGAGTGTCGGCAGGACGAGCTGTGCAAGAAATCTGCATAGTCTGATGGCTGCAATGATTGGTCCTATTTCCTATTTCTGAAAGGCATTTTCTATCCAACAAGTTTGAGCTTTGACTTTAATTGAGTTACAGATGTCCTGTAATCTTTACCGGGAGGGATTGAAACCAGGCCCTGGCACAAGGCTGGAGGGGAAAGTGTGATCGATAGGTTCTACAATCCTTCGTTCTATGACCTATCATTTGGTGATGATGTAATCATTTAAAAGAGCACAACCTTTAATTCAGGGCAACGTTCACCCAGCTTTAACAACCGGAGTGCCTTCATTTAGTAACACAATAGCTCCCATTAAAACAGGTCGAGTGAAAGTTCTACCACACAGAACGGGGCGTGGGGCTTTCAGCCGAGGGGGGGCTCCTATCTGAAACTACAACCGTCCGCCTAAAAGTAGTATTTTACCAAAATAAAATCTCGTTCTAGTTTAGTCAGTGCGCGGTTATGGGGGGTCATGTTTCTAAAACATTAGAAGCAATGTACGATAGAAATTCCTAAAGGCCAAATTGACATCTTATAAAGTGATATTCTGATTATTTTCTGATCTTATAGAGCAAACGATTTATGGAAAATGACTGATCCTTAATACAATAGTTGTAACCCTAGTTCAGTTTATTCATGACACGGAGAGAAAATAGTCCGTTGATTGGAGAACACCGCAGTGGAGCTGGTGATATCTTTTGTACTGTGAGTAGTATTCACAGCATTGTGATAATCGGTATGGAAGTGATCTGATCAGTAGATACGCTGTATGCACACTGTGTTTTCTGCTCTCATCACAGAAACGTGGTGAGCAGCTTGCGTAGTTCTTGTCCCTGAGGGTGAGTTTGTCCTGAGACTACAGCGACACTCGCTTTAAAACCACCATCGAGTCCTAATCTGGTAAGAGAGCTGTCAATCAGTGTGTAGCCCCGCCCTACAGCAGCCCCTGCTTCATGGTCTGTTTGAGTCTATCGTCATTTTAGGACAGCGGATGATCTGGCCGACAGGAGGGACACGGTGATTTTCAAGCCGGCGCTGCTGGCGGGAGTAACACCGTGTCCGAAGAGGTCTAACGCAGACTCCCCGAGCCACCCGAGCTACTCACTAAACTTTTCAATCCAACTCATGGCGATCAATATGTGATCGTCACACACCCTCGGCCGGCCTCTAACGGTTTCCTTTATATTATGTCACAAAAGATCATATTTCGTTCTCACATCTCTGCCTCAGTGCTTTTTAATACACAACCTTTCCTCCTGGAGCCTCACAGCTGACCTCAATAAGGAATCAAGTCGTGGGGCACAATTGTGTCTGACCTAAAAAGGTTTTCCCCATCGCAAGAGAACAGAAAACGACGGAGAGATGATGAGAAATCACATTTTGTAAATATTTTGTGGAAAGACCAACAAATATTAAATCTCAGTCAAACATTTCCAATAATAATAATGCTTAAACTCTTAAAACAGCACCAGATACTGTGTACACCCGTGTGTAGACATAACTACTGGTCTAGAGGTAACAATGGGTGTTGAAGGTACTACACGTGTTGAGGTAACAATGGGTGTTGAAGGTACTACACATGTTGAAGGTACTACTGGTCTAGAGGTAACAATGGGTGTTGAAGGTACTACTGGTCTAGAGGTAACAATGGGTGTTGAAGGTACTACGGGTCTTGAGGTAACTGACTGATCTACTGACTCATACCCATTCACACCGCAGGAACAGCTCAACGGAGCAATATGGCGTTAAGTGTCTCGCCCAAGGACACGTCAACTAGCGGAGCCGGGGATCAAACCACCGGTCCTCTGATTGAAGGACAGCCCTGCTCTACCACTGAACCTCACTACAGATGTACAAGAAACGTTGTGGAAATGTGTAGAGGTAAAAACGTTTGTAGAGGTAACAGGAGGTGTAGAGGTGACAATGGGTGTTGAAGGTACTACACGTGTTGAAGGTACTAGGGGTCTAGAGGTAACAATGGGTGTTGAAGGTACTACGGGTCTATAGGTAACAATGGGTGTTGAAGGTACTAGGGGTCTAGAGGTAACAATGGGTGTTGAAGGTACTACTGGTCTAGAGGTAACAATGGGTGTTGAAGGTACTACACGTGTTGACGGTATTACTGGTCTAGAGGTAACAATGGGTGTTGAAGGTACTATAGCTGTTGAGGTACCAATGGGTGTTGAAGGTACTACTGGTCTAGAGGTAACAATGGGTGTTGAAGATACTACGGGTCTTGAGGTAACTGACTGATCTACTGACTGATACCCATTCACACTGCAGGAACAGCTCAAGGGAGCAATTTGGGGTTAAGTGTCTCGCCCAAGGACACGTCAACTAGCGGAGCCGGGGGTCAAACCACCGGTCCTCTGATTGAAGGACAGCCCTGCTCTACCACTGAGCCGCATTCGCCTCACTACAGATGTACAAGAAACGTCGTGGAAATGTGTAGAGGTAAAAACGTTTGTAGAGGTAAGAGGAGGTGTAGAGGTCATGACCGGTGAGTGTTGAAGTCACTACGTGTGTACGGGGATGTAGATCTCTGAGTGGACTTTGCCTAGATAATTCAATTCATTTTATTTTATTTTGTATAGCCGAAAATCGCAAATTACAAATTAGCCCCAGAGGGCTTTACCGTCTGTACACCTACGACATCCTCTGTTCTGAAACCCTCACGTCGGCACCGAAGAAACTCCCCAACAAATGAGAAAACCCTTCAATGGGGAAAAAAAAGGAAGAAACCTCAGTGAGGACGTCAGAGGAGGATCCATCTCCTGATGGACAGACTACAGTGACGTCATGTGGACAGAATGAACAATGTAAACGATGTACAATACATTCAGTTCCTATAACAGAAATGATTCAAATAATTGTGAGTAGTAAGCAGGTGTACGGCAGGACCACTGCAGGGACCACCACCATCACATAGCACCATCGCATAAAACCACCATCACATAGCACCACCATCACATAGCACCATCGCATAAAACCACCATCACATAGCACCACCATCACATAGCACCACCATCACATAGCACCACCATCACATAAAACCACCATCACATAGCACCATCACATAAAACCACCATCACATAGCACCACCATCACATAAAACCACCATCACATAGCACCACCATCACATAGCACCACCATCAGATAGAACCTCCATCAGATAGAACCTCCATCACATAGAACCACCATCAGTTTGAGAACAACCATCACATGGAACAACCATCACATAGCACCACTATCAGATAGAACCACCATCACATGGAACAACCATCACATAGCACCATCACATAGCACCACCATCAGATAGAACCTCCATCACATACAACCACCATCACATAGAACAACCATCACATGGAACAACCATCACATAGCACCACTATCAGATAGAACCACCATCAGATAGAACCACCATCACATAGAACCACCATCACATAGAACCTCCATCACATAGAACAACCATCACATAGCACCACCATCAGATAGAACCACCATCACATAGAACCTCCATCACGTAGCACCACCATCCACAGAAGCCTGTGGGGAGGGAATGCACACGACTAGGAGAGGGTAATGTTGGTTTATGATGACAGTAACAGTCATATGATTAATATTTAAAATAATAATAATAGATAAGAGGACTGACCTCACCGGCCGCTGAACCAGGAGTCGGGATGAATGTCTGTCAATGGGGTCAAAACGGGCTGCACTTCACGGAACGCTCACCTGACCTCACCTCCTTTCAACGTAATGTTTCAGCTGAGGTGCATCTGGTTTAAAGCCTCCACTCAGTAAAGTAATACTTTTGGTTTCTTTTGGCACAAATGGCACATCTAAAGATATTATCTCTGAGGCCAAAGAAGCCCTTCCTCTGTTTCCTCGGGTGTTTTCTAGTTGCGCATACCAGCAGGTTTTTGTCCACCACCACAGTTCTTTGTGAGTGAAGTCACAGATTCACAGAAAATATGCGAGGCTCCCCGCTGCTTCCCTCCACAACACAAACCAGTTTAACTGAGCCTCTGCTGTTTATAACAGCTCCACAAGGTCTGGTCTCTCCAAGGTATAGAGATTCAGAGCCTAAAATCATCAGGTGTGAAGAGGACAACAATGTCAAAATGTGTGAGTGGCACAACCAGAACAACCAGATGTTTGTGACCCAGGTCAGTGCAGCTGGCTGCTGGAAATAGCATCACAGCTGAGTGACGTCCGCACGGAGAGAGGAACAACGCACCGGCGTGTCTACTTAATCCAACGTGGACACGGGATTATTGTTGGTGGAAGGTGATTAGTGATTCCCATAGTTACCATTAATAAAATGAGATTAAATGAGAACAGCTGTTCTCTTCTCAGCGGGAAGCGTCGGCACAGACGGCGTCTGTGTATATATATATATATATATATATATGATGTAACTGTAGATCATAGGCAGCAGCTCCGTCAGCTCCAGTAAATCGTTCTTTAACTGAATTAGAGAGAGACGAGAAGCAGTGAATGACGGGAAGAGGATGAAGACGAGGGAGAGGGTGATGATGATGATGAGAGGATGAAGACGAGGGAGAGGGTGATGATGATGAGAGGATGAAGACGAGGGAGAGGGTGATGATGATGAGAAGATGAAGACGAGGGAGAGGGTGATGATGATGAGAGGATGAAGACGAGGGAGAGGGTGATGATGATGAGAGGATGAAGACGAGGGAGAGGGTGATGATGATGAGAAGATGAAGACGAGGGAGAGGGTGATGATGATGAGAGGATGAAGACGAGGGAGAGGGTGATGATGATGAAGACGAGGGAGAGGGTGATGATGATGAGAGGATGAAGACGAGGGTGATGATGAGAGAGTGACCGACCGAGAGAGAGAGAGAGAATGCAAGGAGCTGAACAAAACAGGAGGCCGAGGAGGTGATGGAGGAGGATGTCTGTTTCCATGGCGACCGTGGCTCTTGTTTCTTTCCTTTTTTCTGTATTGTGCTGAACTCAATGTTCTACAGTAACTCTGCAGACCCGCCTGCTCTTTCCCGTCTCCATCTTCATGCTGCTTCCACACCGTAGCTGTTTATAGTTTATTTCCCTGTGTTAAATATCAGAGTTGTAATCATACGAGAGCTGCATTGTTTCTCTTTCTCACTTCTGGCTGAGACATTAAATCGTTAAGACACTTCTGAATCATCTCAGTTTGCTTCTCCTTCTTTCTCTCTCTCTCTCCCCTTGTGAGCAATAAAACATCAGTGTCATAGAATTCATTCATTCATCAGTCGTTGTCATCCTTGTGGTGCGTTGTTTTTCTTGAAGTGAAGATGTTCAATGCGTTGTTGTTGTTGTTGTTGTCCTCAGCCTTCCCCTGGTTCGGCATGGACATCGGAGGCACCTTGGTGAAGTTGGTTTACTTCGAGCCGGTCGATGTAACTGCAGAGGAAGAGCAGGAAGAAGTGGAAAACCTCAAGTCCATCCGCCGCTACCTCACCTCAAACGTGGCCTACGGTAGGTCTGCACACACACACACACACACGCACACGCACACACTCGCACAGCGGGAGGTACCGTTCACTTTGTGTAACTAACCGTTGCATAAAATTGCTGAAAGTGTTTTTGTGCTTTACGTGACGGCAGCAAAGAAGGCGTCAGGATGCCAAACAGAATAAAAAAGAAAACAAAATGAAATCGACCCCCCCTCAGGTAAAACGGGCGTGCGTGACGTCCACCTGGAGCTGAGGAACCTGACCATGTGCGGCCGGACGGGGAACCTGCACTTCATCCGCTTCCCCACGCAGGCCATGCCCCGCTTCATCCAGATGGGCCGAGACAAGAACTTCTCCAGCCTGCACACCACGCTCTGCGCCACCGGAGGCGGAGCCTACAAGTTCGAGAACGACTTCAGGACGGTGAGAACATTTCTGATTGGCTGTCCCTAATGCAGCTGCAACACAAAATCATCTTTTATGTAATCAATAAGTCCCGTTCAAAGCCAACCTGTGTGCTTCTCAAATAGGGCAATGTGTTTGTGCAGGGGCTGCTTTAGGGCGGGGCTACACGCTGATTGACAGGTCTCTAATAGACCATGAAGCCGGGATGCTTCTTTGTAAGCAGGCGGCCTTGGCCCCTCTTTCCCACAGCTCATTGACCTTCTCTGCAGCGTTGCAGGGTCAATGAGCTGTGCCTCGGCCGGACTGTCCTGAAGTGCTTTAAGAAGGATCTGTCCCTCCATAAAGCCGAATGATCTTGCAGATGGCCGACCTGGAGCTGCTGAAGCTGGACGAGCTGGACTGCCTGATCCGCGGCCTGCTCTTTGTGGACCGGGTGAGCTTCAACGGGCACCCAGAGGGCTACTACTTCCAGAACCCGTCAGACACCGAGAGCTGCGTGAAGAAGACCTGCACTCTGGACAACCCTTTCCCCATGCTGCTGGTCAACATCGGCTCCGGGGTCTCCATCCTCGCCGTGTACTCCGAGAGCGACTACAAGCGGGTGACCGGGACCAGGTGAGGAGGGTGGACACCTAGAAAAGAGAGCGTGGAACCTGCGCCCGCACCCACTCGCCTGCTGTTGTAGACGCGCTGATAAAGGTCTTCAATCGACACGACGCAAACCTCTACTTCAGATGGATGGGTTCTAACAAACGCTTTTGGCTGAAGGAATGACTACAACTCCCATGATCCCATGCTGCCTATTTGCCCCAAATACAGTAGATGGACCAAAGTCCACCATGAGCTCCAAATCGAGTTTGAACTTGTTTTGCACGGTTGAATCTGGGCCAAAGGTGAAGGTGGTTCGAGGCTTTTCACCCTGATAAGAAGGAATCAGCTGTTCTCGACCTTTGCTCCACCTTCGTCCTTATTCAACAGTAGAACTAGATTAGATACTCGTGTGCCGATGGGCTGCACTTCAACAAGCCGCCTGTCACATTCAAATGATGAGCTCGTTTCATCTATTCGTAGGATTATATCAGAAGTAGAAGCGGTTCTGTTCCCTTCACAAACACGTCTCTGCCTCTCTTCCCTTCCATCGTTCCTCCCTCACACCGCGTCTCCTCCTCCTCCTCCTCCTCAGTCTGGGAGGCGGCACGTTCCTCGGCCTCTGCTGCCTGCTGACAGGCTGCGAGACCTTCGAGGAGGCGTTGGAGATGGCCAGCAAGGGCGACTCCACCAACGTGGACAAGCTGGTGAAGGACATCTACGGGGGAGACTACGAGCGCTTCGGCCTGCAGGGCTCCGCCGTGGCCTCCAGGTGAGCTTCAGAAGGTAGCATGTGTGTAGTATGTGAGGAACGGGACTATTTTCTCTCCGCCAAACTGCACCCGACCACGTGTGCGCCCACACGAGGCTGCTAGGCCAGGAGACCAAGGGTTACATCTGCTTTCCTTTTGCACAGTTGTGTGATTTGTATGATGTTGATGAGATCGCTGTGAAAGTGGTTTGTAAACATCTAAAGTCGACTCCTCCTCCTCTCACACTCTTTTTCGCTGTATTCCATT